GAATTTTGAGGATACAAAAACATTCAGACCTTAGCACCCCATCTGCTGAATGTGTTGACAGATGACAGTTTGCTGAATTTCACTCACCAAACCCCAACCCAGAGATTGCTGTCTGCTAAGATGAGCCATTTTGCCCATATCACACACCTTTCCTGTGTGGAGCCCACATCAAAGGATCAATGTGAGGGTATAAAGCTTGGCCCTCATTCTCCAATTTGGGACAACTCTGCAAGGACTTCTCAGCACCAAACATCCCTATGGGATAATCTGAGCCTTTGTTGTGACTACATCACAGCGCAACTTCCTTCTGCCCAATCCTACTTTCTTCATTTCCCCTCAGGTCCCAAGAGCACTCCTCAATAAACTTCCTGCAAGGAAATCTGGTCTCAGAGTCTTCTTCATGGGAAACATGACCTATAATAGAACATGTTTATTAATTTTAAAATTCTTACTTCACCACAGCTAGAATTATGCCAGATCTCATCTATTTTTTCTTCCTCAAGCCTAGGCTAACACCTTGTTACCATAATAAGACCAGTGGGTCTAATGTAGAAAGTGAATCCTGCTATTAAGTCTTAGTGCAACTGTTTGGACAATGAAACATTAAAGTCTGGATTCCACACAACTTTTCATAACCTATACATATAGCTTAATCCCCTAGTCCTTCACTCTCCCTTACCTTCCACTCCTAGTGTCACTCAGATATTTCATGGCCAAACCCACAGGACCAATGACCTCTGCTTGCAGAATGGAAAGAAAAGAATGACACACTGGCCTATCTTAAAAATGATTTCAATGAGGTATGATTTTAAAATTCATTTGGTTTTTTTATTTCTAGAGTACCTTTTCTCCAAAGATTCAAAACTCAAAAGGAGTTTTTTTCTTTCCTCCTTTTTCTGTTCTCTAGGTCTCTCCATGTAAAAAGTACCGCCATTAGGAGTGTGGATCAGATACATCCCGCTTCCTGTTTTATTTTTCTCTGCTTAGAAAACCAGATACTTTCAGAAAGGTGAAATAAATAGGGCTGGTTCCTAAATCAATTATGAAATAAAATTTGTTCACGATGAGCGTCTTCCCTTTTATGGTAGACTCTTTCCTTTGTGGCTTCTCTTCCCCCAGCTCTGGGGCCTCCTGAGCCCACTAACAGCCTCTTGTTCACCCCTCTCCCAGCATCCCTCTTCCCCTTTATCCAGCTTTCCTCATTCTGCTGTTCTCTGCCCATGACCCAGAATCAGTCTGATGGCTTCCATGCTGCCTGTTGTCACTATAACTGAAACTTCCCTTTTCTATAGCTTATTACCCAAGGCCAACTTTGCTCTCTTAGAAGGCAATTTTACCTGGCACACTTGTGGTTGATTAGTAAGTATTGAAATGAATGAATAAGTATATGAATAAATAAACTGCTCTCTCTTAATACACCACTTAGCACACATGTTATCCCCACCCACCCAAGGTTTATGTGTATAAACAGGGGCCTGGCAAAGACACCATGCCTTCCTTTGTAGCATCCCAACTAGGTGAGTTGGGAGAGAAATACCATGATAGGTGGGTGTTAGAGGATTGTATTAACCAAGAGCTTTTGATGCTTTGACATCTGGGACCTTGCTGATCCTGGAGAGATTGTTCCTCGCAGGGCTAGCCAATTCCTAGAGATAGTAAACAACTCACCTGCTAGAGTGTCTTTCATATGCAAACCAACCAATCCAGGGCCCATACCCAACCACTTCTTTTACTGAGCTCTCACAGGGCTCTCACACTCTGGCCCACCATCCACCTGCCCTAATCACCCCAGGACCAGGTTCCAGACAACTAGGGACAGCTCTTGTGCCCCCAGCTTGCTGAAATTATTCAGCCCCAGCCACTCCTAAGACTGTTTACCCTGCCATGCTTGTTCCTTCCCATGGAAACCACGATAAAGGCTCTTGCCCACATTTTCTCCTTGCTCCCTATTCCTCCTGACCAACTCTGGTGCTTCCCCATGTGGTCCTGCATGGCATGACGTGTTCTCTCCTCTTGGGAACTGTGAGCAACAAACTATCTTTTCATTGGCAATTGTCTCCTGATCTGTTGGCCTAATCACACCCTAATAATAATAAAACCTACATTTTAACAGTTATCTCAAATACTTCTCTAATCTCAAGTGTGAAGCCTCCCATTCTAATTCTTTTAAGACCCTGAAAGGAGCCTCTCCTTTTCCATAAGTTCTGACAATTGGAGAAATGACTGCTATCCAAAGAAGGCACTGTAGTAGTAAATAAAAAATAAATAAATAGAAGTGAAGACAGGCTTTACTTAATATGTATAATCAGTCTGATTTCCCAAAAAATCATATAAATTATTGTATTATCCTCAATGAACTGAAGTTCAAAGATGGAAAGTGGTTTTTCCCCCAAAGTCACAGCCACATACACAGAAGAGGTGAGACTCAAACACAAAATTTACTGGCATTCCTCTGACTTATCCTCTGCTCCCCCCCCCGTCATAATCTTCCAAATCTTCTAGTATCTTTTACAAAGTTCTACTGCATAACGTCACTGCTTCCTTCACAATTTAAAGAAAAAGTAAGGTCATCTTGTCAGCTAGGGCCAATGAATTATTTCACAATGAAAAATAGCTAAGATACATCTAGATATTTCAACAATGATATAGCCTTGGAGAAATGAATATATTGTCTAAGGAAAATTTTACCCAAAGACAGAGGAGATCTAGAAATTACAGAAGTTTATAATACTAAGGCTGATATTTAGTGAATGAATGAGAAATTTTAAAAATCTCTTCATTCTGAAGAAGTTCCATTCTTTGGTCATGAGTCCCCAGAGCTACAAAGAACAGGATTGGCTGTGAAGAAGATAGGCAAACATATCTTGCAATTTTGAAGAGCCGTAAACTGAAAGGAAATACTTAAATTCAATTCTATAAAGATAAAAATAAGTATACAAAAGACAATGTGTAATAAAATTGCTATTGAATGTTGTCTGACAGCAAAAGGCCATAAAGATGTTAAGACCTAATTGGTCAGTGTTGACCCTAGTTATTGGGGGGAACACTTCAAGTAAGATAATTGAAAAATTAACCCAATATTGAACAAAATATAGCTCATGGGAATGTATCCTTTAGCATTTACCAAATTCCTACAACAGTTTGGAATCCCACTATTTTAAGCAAGAAAGAGGGAAAGTTGAGGGCCAGCCTGGGTGGCCTAGTGGTTAAGTTCAGTGTGCTCCACTTTGGCAGCCTGGGTTTGGTTCCAGGGTACGGACCTACACCACTCATCTGTCAGTGGCCTCGCTGTGGTAGTGGCTCACATACAAAAAGAGGAAGATTGGCAACAGATTTTAGCTCAGGGTTAATCTTCCTCAGCAAAAAAAAAAGAGGGAAATTGAGAAAAAGGAGGAGAGAAAAATAATAAAGTGAATCAAGTGACTTGGAAATAAAAAAAATTAGTGAAAGAGTTGGATTGTAAGTATGGAGAAAAGAAGACTGGATAAGGGGGCTTAAGAGCAACCAGCAAGAGAGGAAGGCAGCATTTGGAGACTGTGATTGGCAGCTGTTAAGAATTTCCCTGGAGTGTAGGTAAGAAGAAACAAGCTTGCGTGGCTAGAGGACCTCAGCTGGATATCAGAAGAATTTCCTGACTATGACTGTCAAGAGTTCTGGTTTACAGGATCAAAAGGAGGCTCCTGGGATGTGCCTATCTTAGGAATAGTTTTCAGCCTCAAGCAAGAGACTGGGTGGTTTTCTGCAGCCCTGTGGTTGGACTGGATGGCCTTCTCAGAATCCCTCAGTCTCACATTGCTGAGAGGCGTGCCGTACACAGCTGCTTTCACAGTGTCCTTGCCAGCTGCTGACTCCCAGCTCAGAGGCTGTGGAGTTTTCCCCAGAGAAAGGAACAACCAAGTCTTTCACCCTGTTCCTCGCTTGGACCAGCCCTTAGGTATACACTGTGGTTTTTCAGCTCTTCAGCACTTAGGCACTTTCCTTCTGAACCAGGGGCTTCCTGGGAACAATGTAGCATCTGTGTGTTGACAGTAACAGCCTGTGGGCCAGAGACTCTCAGCCAAACTCTCTCCCCTTCCCATACGGGCTGGATGGCACACCTCACCTGCAATATAATCCTAGTCAGCCCCAACCTGCCCTCTCGCCAAGTCCCGCCTTCTCCTATCCATTCCCCAACCTCTTACCTAATTCGGTTCCTAGCCCCTTTGCCACGTTTATACCAATCCTCATGCAGGTTGGTCTCTTCTCACCTCCCATCCCACTCACAGAGTGAACAATAACACGTGAGTGGCTCACAGCCTGACACTAAACAGTGGGCATTGAAAGGTGAGGTGCACACTGCTTGGTTGGGCAGCTGTATATTTATAAAGGGTTTGGCAAAGAGATGCCAGTCTTTTCCCATAACATCGTTGCCTTTTATTTATTATGAGGTTGTAGATTTACATGGGGAGTTAGAAACTCTAAATAAGCATAGAATTTTTAAATTGTCTGTTTCTGCCGAGTTCAGAAACTTGGAAATATCATTTAACTTCTGGCAAAAAGGCAATTCCAGAAAGGTGTTTAAAATCATCCTTTTGTCCTTGGCCCTGACTAAGAGAGGAACGTGTGCTTATGAGGAAAGTAGAGTTTCAATCCTTAGATAACCCTAAAAGAGCAGAAACTATGTTGTGTGTAAGGCATGTGCAGTGTACAAATTTAGTCTTAAATGACAAATCAGAACAATCTCCCTCTAGGAATGTCTCTCTTTCATAGCGGTATCACAGTATTTCTCCTAAGTCCTCCATCCATGGTGTTATAGTGGTACTATAGTGTATGGGCCTATGCAGTATGAATGCATAACAGAATATTGGATGGGTACTGAGAGAACATAGGAAATTTAACAGAGAGGACAGGAGATCAACTGAGATTTTAAGGAACAAAATGGAGCTCTCTGTGTGTGTCTATAAGGCCCGATGATCCTGTTGTTTAGCGTCTCTGAGGGTTGAGTCGCCTCTTTTTGTGCAGCATAAAGTAGATACTTGGTAGCATGCAGAACTGTTAGGGAGAAATCAGAGTTCCACCTTTGGAGTCTTTTCTTCTGATTCAGGATTTTCTTTCTGAAAAACATGATGACACTGATATTTAGATTTGGAGCCCACTCTTGTTTTTGAGCTCTGAGATTAGCAAACTGAGCTATTTAACTACCCCTGGAAGTCCTAAATCCATCTGAAATTTTTATCTCATGAACTCTTTATATGCAATTTGTTTTGTTTCCCATTGATACCATAGACAGAATATTGAAATTCAAAATTCAACTCCTTTGATTATGTAAGACCTTTCCAAAAATGCTTTTGTAGTTCTTTTCCCATGACTGTAATCTAATCAGCATGCTGACTCTGATCACCATATCCTCATATACCTTTGCTCATGATCAAATCCAGTAGAGCCCAAAGAATTTTTACTCAACGGGAAATAAAAGCAACATAAAGAGGAAGAAACTCAATTTGTTTTACCTGTGGTCTCACACTTACCAGCCGTTTCCCTTTCAGGAATCCATCACAAAAGTTTCGCACGTGCTCTACTATAACTTCTGTTATGGGCAGTGTATCCCACTCATCGTCTAGCGTGTGGTAAATCGCAAACGCGGGCAGTTGAGACTCCTTTAGTTTGAAAAATGATATCACCTTCCCATTTTTCTTCACACCGCTGTCCACCAGGATAAATAGTACCTGTAGTTGGAGAAGTTTGAAAGAGAAAGATCTATCTGAGGTCCTGGGGAGAAAGAGATACCCTGTAATTGTTGCAGTTTACACTGATTGAATTTAAGGTCTGTGCCACACAATTTAAATCTCAATTTAGGTGAATTTCTCCTTATTTTGCATTGCTTTGGTATTTTATCCCTTTGATCAGGTTTATTTAATTTTAAGAACATAGAATTGGAAAAGAGTTTAGTGATTAGCTAAGGGAGAAAGCATAGCCTAATGGTTAAAAGTGGAGAATTAGTCTTAAATTTTGTCTCTAGTACTTTCCAGTTGCGTGACTTTGGGCAAATTATTCAGCCTTTCTGAGACTCAGTGTTCTTATTGGAAAAGTGGGCTTCTGTTGGGGCAGATTAAATGAGAGGATGCATTCAATAACTCTAGTACAGTTTTTAGCACACAGCAAGTGCTTGATGAATGTTAAGTATTTTATGTTATTAAATCAAACCTTTTACCCAAAGTAGAAATCTTCTTTATGATATTCTTGTTAGGCAATCATCTACATTCAGTAACACGGACAACTTCTAGTGTTAGGGAAACAACTACTGGAAAGTCAACTTATTTATTCCCACACAGTTCTCATCATTGAACAGATCTCTAGTTCAGTGCAGTAGCTTTGAAGTGCTGGAAGTTTTACTATTTCAGTGATATCAAGCAGAACTGTGCAAAGTAGGGAAGGGAAAGAAAGAAATATTTATTGAACGCTCATTGGGCACCATGACAGGTGTTTTATATAAGAAATAAGCCCTGAGGTCTACAACTTTAAGAGATGATAGCAAGGAGTAAACAAATTGCGACTAATGGGTGATTTTTATTTTCAGTATCTTTGGGTCTCTATTTTCTCTCCACCTATAAATGCAAAAAAGAAAGCAACAGACTTACCACTAAGGGAAGATATCATTATATAGGCATTTAATAGTACAAAATACAACATCTTTAATTTTAAATCAGAGTAATGTGATTTATTATGTCCCAGTTCTTACTTTGTTACCACATACCCATATTTGTGGTTTCTCTTACTAATCTGCCTTCCCTGGCTCCATCTCCCTTTTTCTAGTGTCCTGGGGTTGAATGTTCAAAATGGTGTCTTCCTTTTCAGACTTACCTTCCCCTGGAAGAGCTTAGCTGCCTCCTGGTATCTGTGCATGCTTTCTTTATACTCTGAAGAGGCCTTGTTTATCATCAGTAGAAGATGAATCTCAATTATGCTATTAAATAGGCCAACCACAGTCTGGCAAATAGAAATGTATTATGGTAGAATGAAAGAGAGAGGGAGAAAAAAATCCATTAGTGGCAATCCAGTGAATAGGTAGACTGAAACATAAATGAGAGCTGTCCATCCATAACGCAAATGGTAACTAGCTTCCAAGATGGCTCTCAATAAGTCTCATCTTCTGGTTTTCATGCAGCTGTGTAGATGCCTCCTCTCCAAGCTGAATAGCGCTGGGCTGAGTGGCCAATGGGATATTGCGGAAATGATGGAGCATGACTTCCAAGGTTAAATCGTAAAAGACATCATGGCTTCTGCCTTGCTCTCTCTTTTATCACTCACTCTGTGGAAAACCAGCTCCAATGTTGGGCACTCAAGCAGCTCTAGGGAGAGATTCACACAGCAAGGAACTAAGGCCTCCTACAAACAGCCAGCACCGACTTGCCAGCCATGTGAATGAGCCATCTTGGAAGCAGATCCCCCAGCCCCAGTCAAACGTTCAGACTGCAACCTCACGAGAGATCCCAGATTAGAAGCACCACTCCCAAATTGTTGACCCACAGAAACTGGGTGAGATAATCAATGTTTATGGTTTTAAGTTGCTAAGCTTTGGGGTAATCCGTTATGCATCAATAGACAACAAATACAACATGTAACACATTAGTCACTTTTTTCATCCCTCTTTGTGTAGCAAGAGTGGTCAGATACTCTTAAAATGTGGCCTTCAACCACATGTGAGTAGTGCATACTTACTGAGTGCTTTCTATGTGCCAGGCACTGTTTTGAGGTCTTTACATGTAATAACTAATTTAATCCTCAAAGTCCCAGCTTTATAAATGCATAAATTGAGGCACAGATAATTAAGCAACTCCCCAGAGTCACAAAGTGGTGGTCTGGGATTTACTCCAGGCAGTTTGGGTCCAGAGTCTGTGCTCTTAACCATCAGGATGTACTACGTCATACACAGCTGATTGCAAAACTCCATCTGAACCAATTCAACACTAAGCATAGTTGAACCAGTCTACTTGGCGTCAGTAATAAGGTAAGCTCTTGTGGAGACAAGAAGCATTGGCCCTTTTTTGCTGATTAGAGACAGTGATTCCCCACGAAGTTGCGAATGACCGAGGGGAGTGGGACAGTCATGAGCCAGAGTGAGGAGAGGAGAAAGAGGGTGAAACTATGGCACTGGCTCCCTTCATTTCACTTTCCCCAATAGTGTTGACAGTGTCTCTAGTTTAAACAAATCCCATTCCTTTTCACCTCTCCCTTCTTAATACAGAAAGCATTGCTATAAAACTAGCATGTGCACAGGAAGAGAGAGTATGGTGGATTAACGAACCATCGGACAGAGTCCTGGGATGGTAGGAAGAGGAGCAACTAGGTAGGATCCTTCTGGAAGCTACACACTGCTCTGTAGAGCTTCTTCAGCTCCATTGGCTAACATGTAGACAAGGAGAGCCTGGTGGGTTCTTTCTCAAAACTTTCTCCCTGGAGTTTAAAACCAGTTCTTAGATTTTAAATTTGGGAGATTGGATGTAAATAATTGTCTCTTGTTTTACTAGATCCTGCTACTTAAATTTAGAGCATGCACCTACCCTCCTAGAGCAGAGATGAAGGGTGATTCTTGGGAAGAATCAAGAAATAAAAGCTAAGAAGTCAAAAAGTACAGTTGTCCTAGCAGAAAGGATTGGACATAGCATAAGTGATTAGTTTAATCTGAATAGCCACAGCCTAGATTACCTTGAAGCCATATATTGTGTGTGCATTAATAGTGCATGGCAGGCCAAGTAGATGGCTGTGAGTTTCCGCCTAGTTGCTACTGGTGCAAACCTGTGCACTGGCCACAGGTGAGAAACAACTATAACAGTGTGGGCAGGTCTTCAAATGAGAAAAATACTGCTTTTGGGAAATGAAAAAGTCACAATAAAAGTTGAAATTGCTTCTCTAAAGAAATTCTTACCTAATTTCTTCTCGATGTGATTTGCCTTCACTACTAATGTGGAACTTAAATGTCATTATTCTGTAAGATAAGAGATGGACCTGGCATGAGAACTCAGGAAGGCCAGTCCTTGCCCCTGCCTTAGCCTGCAGAACTCCAGGACACTGAAGCCATAAACCCAAGGACCATAAGATCATCTTTTCTGGTCACACATGCACTCCTGGCAGCTCAACAGACATAAGGAGCAGAATGATGGTGCTCTAAGAGAAAAATGCCTTTTTGATTATTGCTGCCAACACCCCTGGGGTGCATGTGTTTGGATTCTTAGCAAAAGTGGAAATGGAGTCACTGCACCAGAGAGACAAACAAGGTGTGAGAGGTGGACAGGAATTCAGTCAACAGGAAAAGGGGTGTTTTCTACTGAAGGCCGTTGTGGCGCAATGGAAAAACCACAGGACTCTCAGACAGACCATTCATGAAAAAGGCAGGGACAAGTGGATAGGGCTGTCTCTGCAGCTCAAATTACCAGTCATATGGCCTTGTGGAAGTTACTTCACTTTTCTGAACTTCCATTTCCTTTCCTGTGAAATGGAAATAGATAATACGAGCTAATGCATCATCAGTTAAATTTTCCTCCTTAACTGATGCCTTTTCTACATACTCATTGCATGGTCTTGTATAAGTCACTTGGATCTTGAATCTTCTCTTCTGTAAAATGGGCATAATAATTTCCTCTCTTCTATCTCAAAAAAATTAATGTGAGGATTAAATGAGAAAATGATATGAAAGGGCTTTGTAACTTCTAAAAATCATGATATGAGTGTAAAGTACTGTTATTAGAGAATTCACAGCATTTCTGAGCTGATGTAGATCACTGGAAATTAATACTCCATCACTCTATGATCTACGTCAGGGAAAATAAAAGGCAGGACATAGAAGGTGAGTCTATAAGCTGTACAGTGTTAGAAGACCAAAAGATTATCAGGACAAGTGGACCAACGCCTTCACCCAGGTTGCATGCCTCATGCATGCAAAGGAAGACAAACCTAGAGAGGGAGGTTAGGCAGCATGAGGGTCTAGGCACGTGCAGGTGGTGCCAGACCAGGAAATGTTAGTTACTAGTCCACAAGGAGATAGGCACAGAAAATGGGAATAGGTGTTCAAAAACTTTTATAGAAATTTTACATCGCTGTGGCATCCAAGTTTGTGATCACCAATATTTGTCACCAACGCTTTAGGAAAAAATGGCCCTGTGGCATAGACTGCTGTCTCGTTTGAGCAGCACGGTCTAGAGTGTTGCTTGGATCAGAGTTGCCTTCACGGAACACTCTCAGGCAGCAAAACTCAGAAGTTTTTGAACCAGTCACCTTAACTTGGCATTCTGGGTCTCTTTCTTACTAGTCGTGCAGCATACCATTTAACTTTCCTCTGTTTCTTTATTGGGTAGGGACAAGTTTATCAATATTAGAGGGTTGTAGTAAGGATGGCAACATACACAACTAGGTGTTCAGTTAAAGGTGGTTACTGTTATTATTGGTCAAAGGATCAGAACTCCTGGAGGAAAGGGTCTCTGCTATGAAGACAGGTACCCTCCCCGGGATAGGGACATAAGGGGCTGAAGACAGGGGCTGTGATTTACCACAGGGTTGTACTCTGTCACCAAGTGGAGGTTGTTGGTCCCAATGAAAAGGCTTAATTTGGTGGCATCAATGTTTTCAAGGTCTTCGCTCTTTAAATCCAGCTGTTTGTTATCGACCTGGGTAACACAAAAAGGATAAAATTGTCACTGTTCTGTCTTAATTCATTCATTGATAAATGTTTCTGGCCCATTTACCACATGTCAGGCACTATCTAAAGCTCCAAAGACAGAAAGGTAAACAGGAAATGTTCCCTGCCCTTGAGGAACACACTATCGTGAGGGATACAGACAAGTGAACATAAATGTCCCACAGAGTGTGGCAAGTATCATCACAGGGGAGTCACAATCCTATATGTCACCTAAGGAGGAACAGAAAAGCTTCCAGAAAGAGGTAGCTCCTGAAAAATGCCTAAGATTTGGTCAGATGAATGAGGATGGGGAGGGAATTTTAAATAAAGAACAGAGTTTGCAAAAGGCCAAAAGATGTGAGATGCATGTTCTGGAAGCTGCAGTTAGTTTACTGTGACGATAGCAGTAGATGTTGAGTCCAGGCAGGAGAGAGATGGCTCAGAGAGGTAGGCAGAGGCAAACTTCTGAAGGGTCTTGAAGCCAGAGTAAGAAGATGAAACTCTAATATGAAGGCAAGGGAAGCCATTTCTGTGATCAGATTTATGTTTTATTTAGGTACCCTTTTAATGTGAAATAAAACATACATACAGAGAAAAGCACAAAACAGAAAACGTAAAACTCAGGAAATTATTACACAGCAAACAGCTGTGGAACTACCACTCAGGTGAAGAAATAGAATTTTGCCAGAACCCCTGGGGCCCTCTGTGCTCCCTTCTAATCAATAACCCATCCATTTTTACCAAAAGTAACCATTATCCTGACTTTTACAGTTACAGTTTTCCTCCTTTCTTTTATAGCTTTATCACTTAAAGATGCATTTCTTAATGCTATGGTTTACTTTTTTAAAAACATTATGTAAATGGAAACAAACTATGTTTTTTGGTATGTGCATCTCATTTCTTTTATTTCTTTTGCTTCACATTTTGTTTATGTGTCATGCACGTTATTGTACATATCTGTAGTTTGTTCATTTTTCTTGCTGTATAATATTCCATTGTAGAAATGTGCAGAGTTTATTTAGTCATTTTACTGTTGATGGATATTTAGGTTGTTTCCAGTTTCTGGTTATTAAAGTAATACTGCAATAAACACTCTGGTTCATATCTCTTGATACACATATGCCACTGTATCTGTTGAGCATATTATATATCTAGGACTGGGATTTTTGATTGTAGGGTATGTGTATTCTCCACTAGCAGAAAATGCCAAGCTATTTTCCAAAATGGGTAATAACTTACACTTGCACTTGAATTGTTTCAAAAGGTCCTACTGCTCCACGGTCTTGCCAATGCTTAGTATTACCAGCTTTTCTGATTTTACTCATTTTGGTGAACTTGTGGTAGTATCGTATTGTGGTTTTAATTGCATTTCCTTGATTAACCACTTGTATATCCTCTTTTGGGAAGGGTCTATTCAAGTCACTTGTGTACTTTTCTATTGAGTTGTCTGTCTTTTTCTTGCTGATTTGAAGATGTTTTTATATATTCTGGATACGAGCACTTTGTTGGTTCTATATTGCATACCTTCTCTCTCACCGGGGTCTTCACTTTTAATGGGCACTGCTCATGAACAGAAGGTAATTTCAATGTAGTCGAGGTTACCAATCTTTTCCTTCACAGGTAGTGTTTGTTTTTGTTTTGTTTTGTTTAAAAATCTTTGACAACGCCAAGGTCATGAAGATATTCTCTTATATTATTTCCTAGAAACATTATTATTTTGTCTTTCACAAATAGATCTAAAATCCACCTAAAACTCATTTTTCTTACTTCTTAAATGGATGCTTAGATCCTTGATTTTTAGCATTACTCTTTTCTAAAATATACACTAAAAACTACACATTTCCCCCTTATAAGGTTATAAACATCCATACATTTTATATGTAGATTTTATTATCATTCAGTTCAAAATGTCTTCTAATTTCTGTTCTTATTTCTTACTCAACCTATTAGTTATTTAGAAGTGTATTTCTTAGCTTTCAAATGTAGGATTTCCTGGTTATATTCTTGTTATTGATTTCTAGCTTAATTTCTACGTTTTATTTATATCATTTGTCAACTGCTATATACGGTAGTCCCCCTTATCTGTGGGGATATGTTCCAAGACTCCCAATGGATGCCTGAAATGGTGGATAGTAGCAAACTCTATATATCCTATGTTTTTTCCTATACATACGTACCTATGATAAAGTGTAATTTATAAATTAGGCATAGTAAGAGATTAAAAACAATAACTAACAATAAAATAGAACAATTATAACAATATACTGTAATAAAAATTACTGTAGATCATAGCAATCTCAGCATATGATTTTTTTTCTTTCCTTATTAAGTTGAAAACTTTCACCTTTTCATTTAAAGGAAGTGCTTTACGGCTCCTCATTGGCATATCCAAATTGCCAGCGTCACTACTCTTGTGCTTCGGGGCTATTATTAAGTAAAATAAGGGTTACTTGAACTCAAGCACTGTGATACCATGACAGTTGATCTGATAACCCACATGGCTACTAAGTGACTAATGGGTAGGTAGTGTATACAGCGTGAAGACCCTGGACAAAGGAATGATTTATGTCCCTGGCGGGCCGGGTCTGGATGGTAGGAGATTTCATCATGCTACTCAGAATGGCAAGCAATTTAAAACTTATGAATTATTTATTTCTGGTATTTTCCATTTGATGTTTTCAGACTGTGGTTGACCACAGGTAACTGAAACTGTGGAAAGCAAAACCACAGATAAGGACGGACTACTGTATATTATATGTGTCCTTAAAATTATGTATATTCCATAGTTTTTGAATACAGTATTCTGTACATGCCAATCAGGTCATTTTGTTAATTTTATAGTTCAAATTTTATATATTCTTAGTGATTTTTTTTAAACGAGTTATTCTATCAAGAGAGGAGTATTTAAAATCTCCCACTATGATTGTGGATTTAGCCCTTTTTTCTTACAATTCTGTCAGTTTCTGCTTATATATTCTCTCGCCATGTATTAGATAAACACAAACTTGGAATTGTTAAATCTTCTGGGAATATTGAAATTTTTATCATTATAAAGTATCATTCTTAATCTCTAGGGATGCTTATTGCCTAAAATTCTACTTTGTCTAATATTAATATGCTTATATCAGTTTTCTTTTGGAAGTGTTTTCTTGGTCTATCTCCATCCTTTTACTTGTAACCTATCTTTATATTTTACATGTGTCCCTATGTTTTAAAATGATGTGTCCCTTGTAAAAAGCACATAGCTGTATTTTTTAATCCAGTCTGATAATCTTTGTCTTTCAACTGGATTATTTTTATATAATTGTTATTAATAATATATTTAATTAAATACGCATTTTTCAATTGATTCTGCCTGTTCCAAATCCCATTTTCCTTGATTTCTGGCCTACTTTGAATTGATTGAGCAATTTATATTATTCCCTCTCTCCCTTTATTGGCTTGGAAGTGGCATAGGCTATAATTATTCTCTTAAGGATTACCAGCATGAATTATACAACATGCCTTCTTTACTTATCAGAATCTAATATTAATTAGATTAATATTCACCCTATTCTTGGACAATACAGACATTAGAACATTCTAGTACAGTTTACTTCCTTCCAATTCCATTCCCTGACCCCACACTCAAGACTTAAAGGCAATTATTGTTGTGTGTCTTAATTCTAAACCTCACAAGACATTATTATTTTTATCATATAGTCAATATACATTTATATTTGTGCACATATTTACAGTTTAGGTTTTCTTCATTTCTTCCTGCATTTTTGAGCTTCTATCTGGGATGGTTTTCCCTCTGCCTAGAGAACACCTTTTAGTAATTCCTTTAGTATGAATTAGATCTGTTGGGTGACATATTCTCTCAGTTTGGTTGTTTAAAATATCTTTATTTCACCTTTATTTCAGCTATTTTTGCTGGGGATAGCATCCTAAGTTGACAGCTATTTTCTTTCTGCTTTTGAAAGATATAGTTCTTTATATTCTGCATTCCACTCTCCTATTGAGAAGTCATCTCTGAACCTTTAATATTACCCCTTTGAGATTATTTTGAGGGTAATCTTTTTTCTCTGATTTAAGATTTTTCTCTTTTTCTTGAGTTTTAGCTATTATACTGTGGCATGCTAAGGGTAGATTATAGATGACACATAGATATATAATTACATACAGGGGCAGGTGTATGCGTGTGTATATATATGTATGTGTGTATGTATGTGTATTTATATATTCGTATGTGAGTATCCTAATCCAATTTCAAGAATTGAGATGACTTGAATTTGTGCTGCAGCCCTTGGGAGGGCTGATCTACTTATGGTTCATTCTTATTTTTAGGGTCCTACGTGAGGCAAAGAGCATTTTACTAGATCCAACTCCTGCTTCCTCTTGTGGTCCCTGGACTCCAACATTTACTTTTCTGGCTCTTTGAGCGTCTCAAAACTGCTAATAAACCTCTCAAATCTCTTGGCTGCTTCTTCTAGAACTGGCTAAGTCCCCCCAGAAGAAAAGCAGGCCCAATACCGGGTTCATCTTTTTGGGTTTCCATCTTCTTCTAAATCTTAGTCTAGACATTTCCCCCACTCTTGCTAGTTCTCCAATGCCTTCTTATTTATTTATTTATTTTGCACAGCCTTCAAAAAAAATGTCTTTGGTGGAAGGGATTGTCTAGTTACCTGGTCTGTTATCCCAGATTTGCATTTAAAAACAACCTTTCCCTACCATATTTAGATATATTAAAATATAGAACTTCATACTGCTAATCATTGATACCAGAATTCCCCATTCCCCTCCTCCAATCTACTTAGGCCCGTAAAGACACAAGATAACGCTTCCATCATCCATAGCAGCTATGCCTACAGATAAAATTATCAGGGATAGCTCCTGAGCAATTTTGTCTGTTTCCTAAAATAGTTTGGGTCATTTTTGAGATCTTTGGGCCACCAACTCTTGGACATCTCCTTAAACTCTTAACCTCCCTTACATCTGCTATTTCAT